TTCATAAATCCAATGAATAAAAATACTAGCTGTTAACAAAATGAATGAATGCCATCAAGGGGTGATAATAATAATTGAGTGGTTAAGAACTCTTTAAAAAGTATTCTCTACCAATTTGACTTGTAAATTCAGCAACCTTGACCAACATAATAAATAATTCTATTACTGATAACAAGAGCTGGTAATCTAGTTGCCACTTTTTGGTAAACCACTTCTAAGATTGCTCAGTCGGCATGATGTCTCATTTGCAATTCCTAAAAGACAAGACGCGATCATCCTTTTCACCTATAAAACATACCGCCACAGAGAGATTTAACAAGCGTTAGACCATCATTAATAAGACCAGCTTCATTGAGCTTTAAACACGAACCTGTCGATAATAGCTACAGCTTTTTTGCCTCAAGCGTTACCACATTCATTTCACAGCTGTAGATTATGGCCAGAAAATGGCTTTCACCCAAGTGTTTAAGAACAGAGTAAAGTGAAAGTGGAAAATACTTTCCTGGATATTGAAAAGGTCCATTACAAAGCAAATAGACTTATAAATGGTTGGTCAGAGAAAAGAAGAATTACCAATTGTAGAAGAATTGAATTAGAAATTTTATGAAGTTTTTATGCAATGGAGACCAAAAAACTTTTTTGAAATTTTTGAATATCATAAGCTAGTGAGAAATTTTATGCAAAATGAACATCATTTTTGACTGCATCAATCTTCTTAGAAAAAAATGTGGTGATTTTAAAGTCATGAATACAAAAGCTATGTTTTTTGTTTATTAAAAATGATAAACAGACTGCTAAAGAAACAGTTGCAATTATTTATTCTGTTCAGCACAAATGAAAAATATATGTTTATTATGCGACTTATTTAAATAATATCTCCAATTTATAGTGTTATTTTTTTAAAGGAAAATTACATATTATTTTCAAGTTTTGATTGTTATTATTCAAATGAATCCATGAAATAATGTACAACATTGATAATTTACATTCATGATTGATTTCTGAATATCATTAGCCACATAGATACTAATATCTTGTTATTTATTGACTCTTGAATATCCATTCTATTGGCTTGTTTACCTTCAACAATGTCTCTTGTATAATTATTTAGTAAAATCATGTCGAAACGTAACACAAGTCAAGAGCGAAACAACTTATGAAACTCCTACAGAGTCACATCTCAATCTTGAATGTTAAGTGGTCGACATGCCTTGAGCATTACATTGTCATATGAACAATGTCATCTGAAGTGTGGTCACGAAACTCTTGACTGAGATTGCCTCTGTAACAAATTACAGACCTTCTTCCTTCATAGATTTAGATTATTCATGATAAAAATAAATGAAAATTAATTATGTTGTGTTAGTAGACAAAATTTCTTGAAGTTAAATTAATAAACTAAGAAGTAAAAAAATAACTTCTAAAACTGACGTTATAGAGGATCGATTTTATTCGGACTATTCATTTTTACTCTCTTGAAAGAAATGGTTGAAAATCTATGAAAATTAGTGATTCATTAAAATTCATATGGTGATAAACTTGGCGTTCTTGAATTTCTATGCATTTCAAATGATGGTATTCCATGTTAAGGATGGGATTGTATATTTAGTTTTTTTATCGATTTATAGGAATGATTACTAATTTATTGCAAGAAAGAAAGAGATAATATTTTCAAAGAAATTACTCGATTACATTTAGAAAAAAAAATAAATAAAATTATAGTCAACTTCTCCACCAATAGTGGAATTGGGATCAGTAAACATCCGCTTATTCAGCTTAACAGAGTACATTAATTTGAAAAAATTTCAAAAGCAGCTAATATTATTCACATGTAAAAATAATAGTTTTCCTGTAATGCGCCCCTATAGATGTGGTAGAATGAACATGAAATAGATTCTACTTCATTTTTCCTTACAGTAGTTATCCCACGAGAGTGATTATTTACAATTTTTTAAAACCACATTATTTTTATAGAATAACAAAAAATGAACATTTTTTTCCTCTAAACAAAAAAGATCTGACGTCTAGAAATGAAGATATTTGTAATCGGAGATTGCAATTTTACCATGCAGTCTAATGGTAGAAAGCAACCCGTTACAGTTTTTCAAAAAATATTCTAAAACGGAATTTACGATTACGTTTAGAAAAAATCAGAAAATCAATAAATATGTAATTAATGCTTCAATAAAATTTCATACAGTTTTGACGTTTAATTATTGAACAAAACATTATTAAAATTAATTTTTCGATCACAAATTGAAGAGTATACTCTTCAATTTGTGATCGAAAAATTTTGTGATCGACATTACCTATATAGGTACCACCACATTTCTATAGATTTTGTGATCGACATTACCTATATAGGTAATGTCGATGTATTGGTACAAATTGTAGAAAAAAAAATATAATTAAGTATACTATAAAAATTATAATTAGTATGTTAATAATATTTTTAGTCACAATAAATTTTTAAAAGAGCTCTTGGGGATAATTACCTTAAAGTTCTTTTTCACACTTTTTACTGTTATTTTATCATCAAATGAAAGTTTCGAGGCAATCAAAGATATTATTTTTCGTCCCAATCAGAGAGATATCTTTCTCGAATTCGTTACCGACCCTTGTACAAATATAGACATTGCACTTGGTATGGTGTGGTTACAGCAAAGGGTTTTCCCAAGATAAAATAAAAGTAGAAATAAAAAAATAAGGATAATGTTTATATAGGAGACTAGTGAAAGGAGCTCATAAGAAATACAGTAAAAACCACAAATTTACTTCTATTCGCGTAAAAGCAGGAAATTGTATGCTACATAATTTCCTGAAACATGAAAGAAATATAAACATAAAAGATTTATATTTTCATCTATAAATATGCATAAATAGTATTAATACTTATAACTTTTTATTTCATGAATCTCACTTGTTTCAGGATCTATACTCAAGTTTTGTCAATATAGAAAAAAGATGTTTTTACATCTTTCTTCAACAACCATGTGTATTCTATATAATGTCCCACAATCTCATCCAGTTACATCTGACGCTGCTAGAAAAAGTTAGAAAACTTTCAAAGAAATTTTTTTATTCTAGCAAATTTTTAAAAAGCCATCTTTTCTTCTAGAAAATAAGTTTAATATTAATAGAATAAATTTTGTTTCAATTTTCTGAAGAACTGTGTAAATTTGGGAAATCACTTGAATTTAACTGATAAATAATACTGTACTCAATCCATATTTCGTTGAATATTGATCAGCAATAAATAGAATTTTTTAATAAAAGCGAATATTTCTTGTCTTTTCTCCATTTTTTTTTTATAGAAAAAAATATATCCATGCAATTATTATTAATTTTTATGTAACAAACATTATTTTGATAACATACTAAAAATAGTTTTTTATTCATGTAAAAGTGTTTCTTTTTATCAGAAGATTGTTTCTAATTAATAACATCTTAATAATGTCTTATTTCTTAAAATTACATTAAAAAATCAAATTTCTTGTCTTATTTATTCTCATAATTGTATATTTTTTCGTACGGCCGAGTAATTTTTGTTATGTTTTCCCGAACTCTATAACAAAACATCAATAACAACAAATTATGTCTTTCTTTATATTACATCAAGCATTTGTACCAACAACCTTCGACGGCATTGCTTTTCATTTCTATCAAACCTTTCGCTTACTTCACACCCTATCACTTTTCTCCGTCATATTCTATTGGAATCCTGAAAAATATTTTCTCTCTTGACTTTTACCTTTCGTATATAACCTCTACGTATTTTTCTATATATACTCTTCCAATACTCTTTTCCCATTTTCTACGACTTTCAACTGCATTGGAACTTTTCTACGATCTAAAACACTTTTTCCTGGTGAACCCGCGTAAACTCCCAACTCGATCGAATAACTCTTGGAATTTAAGTACTACTTCTTTTACCGTCCCTCAACATCATTCAAATTTTTCAAAGCCACTTTCATATCATAGAACAGGTAATAAACTCAGTGGACGACACTTGTCGCATTGCGGTTTCTATCTCAGTTTTGTATGCAAAGCATTACTTTCTAAAATTTTCATTCTTATTAGAAATTCTAGCAAACTTGGTAAACTACTTTATATATTTAGAAGAAAAAAACAAGTATTAATTTATTAATGCGTTGAAAAGACAGTTATCTTACGGCAAATATTCTTTTAAAGTGTAAACGCAGAGGATTGGAGTAGATTAATGGCGAGAATCAAGTCATAAATCGCAAATTCATGATAATTTAGTCATAAATTCTAGAATTTACATAATCCTAAAAAATTATTTAAATTAAATTTTTCAAAATTAAATAATACCTTTTTTCTTCTTAATTATAATAAAAATAAAGGCTTTATTTATTCTATGAAAGCAGTATGAAGCTTTTGCCACAGAAAATATTTAAAATAAAAAACCGATATTAATTTTTTTATTCTTTTAAAAATTTTCCATTTTTTCATCCATTACTTCTATCTGAAATTGCACAAAAAAGAGAATATAGTCGAATAAACGAACATGAGCAATTAGTTTATTCATGTAATATTTCAACAATTCACAACGAACAGTTATATTATGTGTTACTAATTCAAGTATGAAAGTGGCTGTTATTTGACTTGCAATAAAAATTTTAATCCCTTGTCCATTATAATAGAACGGTGGGAAAAAAAATAAAATGATGAAGAATAATAAATCCCTATTATAGATTGATTTATTATCTTGATATCATTCGACTTCTATATTTCAACATACAGCTAATCAACAATAAACTCAATGTTCTTGTACGTCGAGTCACTCTGACGCACATGTCATTATTTATCCAACAAGAATAATAAATTATTGATTTCTGTGGCATTAACACACATTTTTCACAATTGTGTATCTACTAAATTGTGTTCATAGACACAAAATCAAAAAAAAAAATTCTGCATTATTCTACAGAGAATGTGGTACTGTCCAAATTAACTTTTTTTCTTTTTTTTTGTTTTAGCTAAATGTGTACAAGTGTACGATAGTGTACGTATTCTCCAGTTCTTTTATTTCTAGCAACAATAACCAGGCACCAGGGCTTCGATAATAGCGTCAACGAATTTATTTAAAATGGATTATTATTTTACTCTTGAATGTTTTCAAAAAAAAGGAATTTATATATAAACACAATATAGTGTTCCAATTAAAAAAAAAATTAATACAGTAATTAGATTAATTTATTTGTTATTTGATATCAAATTATGATATAGTTTTAAACAAGGTGCTTTAATCGAATGTTGATAAAACTTTTAAGAGCCTAGATATTATTGAGATCATAAAGAGATTTCATAGAAGATAAATTGATGATTATCCGCGGCTCAGATTCTTGTGGAGTGAAATTGATGTCAAGAGGGAGATAAGAAAAATTTCAGCCAGTTCATAATGACAGTGTGTACTTGATAATGTAGTTTTTATCTGGTTATTCAATTCTTATTAAAATAATTATATTGAAGTTTTACTTCTTATGTCTATAATAGTTGAAACATTTTTTTTTTTGTTTGAAGTCTATGGAACCCAAGAAGTTAATTTACTGAAGATTTTTTCTTTGTAGTGTAATTGATTAAAAAGAAAAAGAAAATTCATTTTTGCTTTACAGTTGGTTTATAATTACAGTCAAGTCTTTCAATTTAAGTTTGTAAAGAAGTGCACAAAACGTTCTCAAAATTGCTAATATATTAAAAATTAGTAGGTTTTTTTGTTACCTCTAAACTAAAGGTGTTATGAGCGTGTTTCAACACTATTTATTTATTATTTAATCGTTCTAACTAACAGATTTTAAATCTTTTCCCAGAAAAGATGTTTATAATAAAATTATCGGAGTTAATTCATACTACATGTTCAATTATACTACAACGTCAGAGAAAACTAGTAATTGTATTCTGTATTTTTAATTTCAAAATAAGCACGTTCTGATAAGCATTCGGCACCAGATCTATTTTCACCAAACTTCTTTTGCTTTTCAGTTACTAATTATCGTTGTTTTATGTTTATTTAATAAAGTGGAATGCTGACAAAACTACATATGTCTTTTATTGATTTTGGTATTAATTTAGAATTATAAATGATTAATTGTCGTGAAAATTTAACTTGTGAAAACTTGAAAAGAGATTGCAGTTCTTTTCTCTGTTTGACTTGCGAATTTTTCTCAATATTAATGTGTTGGATTCGATTCATTTTTCAGGACAACTAATCAGCATGAGAATAAAATGATGGAGGATATGACGTCAATGTTATGTGATCTATCATAGCAGTTTTTCATTAAAGAAAATAAAAGTGGTTAGACATTTATTAAATATTTTTTTTCTCTCTGTCTTTCGATTATTTATATTTCACCATTTTCATTTAAGCCACATACTCAACAATTTTAATTATATTGTCATATAATTATGTATCATACTTTTAATGTATTATTTCTATCGAAATAATATTATAATATGCATTAATATATAATAATACCTATTATGACTATAAATGATCGGATTGACTTCGAGGAGAACATACAATAGATAGCTCGGTATATCCACATACTTAGTCTATAGAAAACATTTTCTAGCGATATCTTAATGAAGATTTCAATAATTAATGATAAACGAATTTTCAAAGAATAAACAATCATTTATGTGAATTATTTCTTTATTTATTAATCATCGAAAAAAGTAATTCAAGTTGAAAGGAAATTTTAAAAATAAAATAGAAATAATAAAAATGCATATTTTTAATTTCATTTAGAAATTGATTATCTTGTTATATAAAAAAAACAAAAGTCTCATTTGGTGCCTCAAAGCATGTGTTGAAATGAAAATTGATATCGTTTTGTTCGTCAAAAATAATTACTAAACACAATGTTCTACTTTTTTGTTGCTAAAATAAATTTTATTATTCAAAATATAGATAAAAATGTTATATTCTGTCAGCAATTTAATTTTTCCTCATAAAAATTATTCTATTCTTAGATTACTTCGTTAGCACAATTAATGCACTGTAATAAATCATTTCATTTCAACAATTGAATAAATTAAAATTTTACCCTGTAACGAGAACAGAAGAAATGAATCCTTGATTTTTGCTACGTAAATCCTAGCGAGATGATGGATTTTTGAAATTCAGTTACTCAGCATTGTCAACAATCTTCATGTCTCTCTTCACGATAAAATAATTTAATAAGCATCTATGCAGAATGATGAACTAGAGACTGAATTAATAGACACTTTAGTTGAGTGAGGTTTTAATCCGCGAAGAAATACCAGTCTCATTACTTTTGGTTTCCAAGTATTTCCGAGCTTTTGAAGAGCCTTGAGGAATTGTAGACTGAGAGAATAATGGATTCGTCTAGTCATTTATTTATCCGAGAGGTATCCACACGGTCATGGCTTCGTATACCATATTAGAACTAGATACCACGACTACGTATTCACATGCTTACATTACTTTGCGGGGTCGACGAGCGAGACCACTGCACTCTTGACGCATACTCATAACGTCAGGGGATAATAGGAATGCCTTTATCTATGTATAAAGCTACTACTCATACTGTGAATACGTCAACAACGTTAAGAACTTGCCTCCGGCGTTACTAGACAAGCTCCTAACCAAACAAACCTGTATATAGTAGTAGTTATATTATAAATTTCATTATCATCCGTCATCTTCATACTCATGGTATCCTGATCCAAAAGAATTTAACATGCTACACTAAACTTGATCCCTTTTGGTTAGTTTTCACATTCTTAGATAGTCGAATACTTTAAGAGCTTTCATGTTCAGTAGATTACATAAGAAGAGATTCGATTTAGAATACAAAATAGTGGTCAGATATATTGAAATATCACGAACAAATTAATTGGATTGCCTTGGGCTCTTTTGAAATATCACTGGAAAGCTTATATAAGGATATGAATAGTTATCTCGTTTTATTGATAACCAGCTCATCAAGTTAAAGTTGATATTTTTTTAGCTATTTAGTTAAGCAGACCAGATGGTTAATATTACAAATTTTGTTAGCTTAGTTGTTTACTTGAAGAATAATTTATTGTTGAACTTAAACAAAAACAACAAGGCAATTTGTGGTTTGAAAGTGAGTATTTCTTCTAAAATTTTTATTGAAGTATCAGCTTAGAAAGAAATTGCTACAAATTGAGATTTCAAGGAAGCTCAGAGAAATACTTTAGATTTTTCGTTGTTTTGAAATCAGTAAAATCCAAATTGAATTTTTCTACAAAAATATGTGGGATTATACTTTTAGGTTTTAAAATAAACTAGTTAAGAAAGTAATTGGTTTTATTATCATTTATTTTTTAATTATTTAAACTCTTTACATAAAATAATAAATGGTAAGAGAACCAATACTCGATCACTTATGTATTTTTGTATACCTGTAGGTAGGATTCCCTAGAGTGGTTGAGTATTGGGTCTCTTACTTCACAATTATCGAAAAAATGGAAACTTCGTAACTATGATAACTTACATAGCTCTGTCATAAAATATCAACAATGTATACATTGGAAGCCAAAATATGTTTTGAACTATTTTCATTATAAGTCTGTTATGTCAGAATCATAGAAAAAGTTATTATTTTTAAAAATAGTCTAAAAAGTTCTTTGAAATCCTTGAGGAATATTTTTTGCTATTTGGCTATTCCACTCATTATTATGTACTCATTTCCCCAAGGATCACGAGAGTCCAAATAGAGAAGCACTTTTCGCTTTAACAGCTGATAACATGGTTAACGAAATCAAGTTTTGAGATTCTTTGCACAGGTTTTGAGAAAGTTTTCTTTTTTTCATTTCAGACATGCTTTCTTGTAGAAAAAATTCAAGAAAATCATTGTACCTTTTATCTATAAATTTGTTACTAAGTACTAGAAGTTGTTAAAAAATTATAATAGAAGATTGTGCGAGGCCTGGTTATAAACCTTAGAAGTAGATTTCTACGGAAATAAATATTTTTCTATAAACTTACTACAGATTTATAAATGATTATCGATTCTACTAAACCATTCACTTATGAAATATTCATTTTTATTGATTTTCATTGCAAAAGTTGTTCTTAATAATCATTTAAAAGTTAATAAACTAAAATTCTAATGATTAATTTGCCTCTTAATACACTGCATATTTGTGTGAATAATTTTAAAATTTTCAAAGAATTTAATAAAAAATTAGTTTTTGTGCAACAATAATAGAATTCTAAAAATTTCCCTCACAATTCGTAAATTTTTAAATTACATTGAAAGAACCTAATTCAGAAATGGATGAATTATTATCAAATTATTATAACTCAAGAATAGGTAAAAAGCTCCAGCTTAAAAATTTCTTAATTATTTATCCACTTATTTCAACAATCATCATTTGCGACATTAACGAAAAAATACTGTAATAGAGATTTATAAAAAATTCTGGTCAAACTTAAAAGCTCTTTCAAATTTAAGAGAAAATTGCTTTCCTAAACTTTTTAGTTTAAAAAAATAATGGAATATCCTGTGGTTGAGTAATGTCAAATAAATTTCTGCTAAGATAAAACCATAAAAATTGTCCCTGGCTTACTCAAATTTTTAAGACCCTCTAATTTTTACGACCAGCTTATTTAAATATTTTATATATCAGCTAACGATTTTATCCTATTTTATTATGAAGTAGGTCTATCAGAGATAACATCTAGAATTATTTATACATAAAAATACAACAAATTGGATAATTAAATAGTCTCGTATAGAGGATTCATAATTATTGAGTGATATCTAAGTCATAAAATCATCAGGACTAAAATGGAAAATTTAGCAAGCGTCGATCGCAAAAGAGCTTGCATAGGAAATTGATGTCACACCGACAAAGGAGTGAGATTAACAGCAGGAAATTAATTTTACTTATAGAAGCGAAAAGCTGAAGTAACGACGATGCGCAGGTGTGAATACTGAGTAAATTGACACTTCTTGTTATTCAGAGAAAGCTTCTGTATTTTCTCTTTTACTTTCTCTTCATGTCCATCAACCCAAAGTTTTTTCACAGTGTATAATTCTCGTTATCGATTTCTTAACTCATTCATTAGAGAAACGTTAATTAAAGGAACTTCACTTTGAATTTACACTTGGTTGAACGTTTCTCCTTTTCACAAGTGAATCGACAAGAAGCAACTTCAAAGTGGTTAAATTTTTTTTCAAGTCACTATTATTGCTCTTACATTGTGTGAATCGTAATGCAAAGAAAGTAATTAGAAAACTATATTTAATTGTAAACATGTTTTATTACAATTCTCATTGATTAGTGCCATGGTTTAGAACTAGGTGTCAATGACACGTTATAAATGCATAACGATTTAAAATAATTTACATATTAAGAGAAATGAAGAATACTGCCAATCAATTGAACAACTTATCAAAATTAAAATAAAAAGCTAACAATAATTATTTTGACGCATGTATGACGACATTGGGTAATCAATTTTTTTAGAAGTTATTCTTTTAAATAAATTGATGGAGAGCTAATTGTCGTATAAATTCATCCTTGCTAT